CTCTTTAACATCTTCATACTCGTCCCGTCGAACCTAAGCTATGATACCAGTTGTTGGGCTAAAACAGCTCAAAAATACTCTTAATATGATGTGATATTGTCTGCTTTGAACTAAACCTGTATGATTTCATTAAGAGATTCATACACCTTTTTAACTATTAATATGAGACCTTATTCACACACCCAACACGTACGTAATCTTATGAAAAAAAAGTGAAATATACGAGGCAACGGTAGTAGCATTTGAATCCTTTCGAGCTTTGATTGGCACTTAATTCCTTAACCGGAGCCTGCAAATGTAGCGATATTATACGTACAGCAACCTATACAAGTTTTGAATCCTTCCGAATTTTCATTGGCACTAATTCCTTAACCAGAGTCAATTGCAATATGTAACAGCATTAACAGCAACATGTACAAGTTGTGAATCCGTTCGAGCTTTGTTTGACACTAGCTAATTCCTTAACCGGGTCACTCGCAAAATGTAGCGACATTATACGTACACCAACATTTACAAGTTAGGCAAGAAGCAGATATATAAATAAGGCTCCTTTGGTTCAAAAGAAAATAATCCCAAAATCATTATATTAAGCTTATAACCAAGATTACGGTCAGAATTATATTATAATCCCATACATACATACATACATACATACATACATACATATATATATATATATATATAAAAAGATTTAATATAAAATTTATTACTAATACCAATAAACAAACGGTATATAAATACAATTTCAAATTAAATATCAATTAGTACATTAATCCAAACGACCCTTTAATTTGTTAAAAATTAGCACTCCACTACCTTCCTTTCAAACCCTAGTTATTAGGTTAGGTTGATGTTACTACCGCCGCAAGATATAGTTAGCTAGTGAAATATAATAAAATGTCCTTTGACAGAATGTTACATAATAGAGTTATCAGTTTAAAATGCTTCTATTTGCACGAAAATCTAGTCTAGAACAAATAGGACAAGTAGCAGACAGCGTGCAAAGTCCTAGCCTTTTAACCATTCTATAACGCAATTAGTTATAAACCCTAAATTACCAAGAAAAAAAATTAACGAACTGGTTATTAAATCAAGACTATGGACTGATAATTAAAAGTAGTATATATTTTCTTTAAAGCAAACTAGTAAAGAATACACCAAAGCTGTTCTTAACCAAACAGAAATAATGTTATATATACTTGTTTTGTTACAAGGAAGATAAAGTTAAAACTATTTCCCTATTTATACAAGTGCAAAAAACAGATGTAAAAATGTTTTCTTCTGCATCTCAAATCTGGACAAAGAGAAAAGCTGCTGGGGCTGACTTTATCTGTTCTATCTGCTCTTTAAGATTTTGCAAATCCAACAAGCTGATAAACTTTAATTTCTTCAGAACCCAGAAATAGGAATTAAGATCTACAGACCTGAAACTTAAAAAAGTCACATAATAAAAAAAAACAAATCAGTAGATTTGGCAAATCAAACAAGGAATGAAGTTATACAGTAGCTACAAATATATTACATATGTTTTCTTCAGATCCCATAAATAGAAATTAAGATCTAGAGACCTGGATATTAAAATCAGATATTAGATCTCTACTAATAAAGATAACAGAAATTAAAGACAAACAAGAATACAAATCTGGTTAAATGAATGTAGAGCTCCCTTCAATCCAAAAAGGGATCCAACTTAGGGCAATGAAGCTCCTGACATATGCAACCCACAAACCTATCCAATCAAATAATAGATAGGACTGAGGAATCCATAGGTCAGCAGCTCAATCTTACCTGTTAGATCCTCTGTTGGACTTCAAGGAGCTCCACTCTCAAAACCCTAAAAACATTCTTATATATCACATAAAAAGACAAAAAAAGTCAAACCTAAATCCTGTCCTAACACTGCCTAAAAACTGTCTTCAACTTCTAAAAACCCTAGACACAAACATCAAACAGAAAGAAAGAAAAAGATCAAAACCCAGAAAACCACAAGGTTTCTTGAATCGATCTATATATATAGAGAGAGAGACGTATGGTAAAGGAAGGAAAAAACACTGAAAAAGATAACCCTAGATAGAATATAAAAAATGAAAAAAAGAACAAGAAAAGCAATTTAGAAAGAACTCAAAACAGCTAATAAGATGAAGCAGCAAAAAGAAGAGAGAAGTGAGAATTGTTGAAAGGAGAGGGGAGTATATATAATGGGTGTAGGAAATGAGATATGGTAAGTAAGGGTAGTATTTTAATTTGTTTTTCTTTTGTTTGGTAAGAGAGTGAAAGCATTGGGGAGTGTGGGGCAAATTAAAGTTTTTTTGTGATTACTATTGCCTTGCACCCATATCTATGTAGTCCTTTGGATTTAATTGATTAGATTCTCTTCACACATTTTGAAATATCACATGCTCTTGTCACCCAAAGTAACCTACAAATTTACAGCTCTCTCTCACTCGTCTTGTTAAACAGTCTAGCAGATGTAGGGTTCGTACTTTTTTTCTTCTTTACTTATTTTTTTGGGTTTGTAATTTTGACGTTTGTTTGACTATGAACAGTGTCTGAGAGTAGTTAATGGAGTACGGCAGAAAATATACATTATAAATACCATTAAAATGTCTCTCCGCCATTATGGAATGAGAAAAGTGAATTTGGTGTTATTGCTTTTCCAACTGTATTTCGTTGTCCCCGAGCATTAAAGCTGTTTTAGGGTTTAGGAAAGAATAATGAGCAATATATACGTTTAGCTGCTTTAAAAATAATAATCGATAATATATATATATTTATACACTTTTCGACAAAAAAATACAATTAATTTCAATGGATCGTATTTTGCCCAAGAATCATCTCATATGGTGGCCTCATCATGTACCGTTGGATCGACTTGAGCCAATTTTTTATTGAAAAATATAATTTAATTGTATCCTTTTGTTAAATTTATAAATCATATCGTATCAAAATAAGTCAATTTTCCGGTTTCTATATTTTGTCAGATTTCACAACGTCTTTTTAAATTTTTTCCATTCTCTTAATAATCACTCACACAAACACCCATATCACACACTCCACTTAGTTTTACTAGGATAATTGATATAAAGGTAAAATAAAAGAGTAGTAGGTGTATTTTTAGCGAGTCCGGAATTAAAGTGTGGTTCTTTAGGACTTAAAAAACTAAAACGTGTGGGAGAAAAACCAGGGAACCATTATATATATATATATATATATATATATATATATATATATATATATATATATATATATTTATAACGTGGTATTGTACCGCGCTATACCATAATTAATAGCAGGTTTGCGGTTAAAATATAGCGCGGTGCAATACCACGCTTTATTTGAACTAAAATGGGCGGGAAGGTATATCGTCCTTATGTAGGGTGCTATAGTATAACACCCTCGTAAGGACATTATACCTATATAAATTTACGTGCCTTCTCCTTCCCCACCAAACCAGAACGTCCCACCCCTCCCCCTCCCCCCCCCCCTCCATTGAAAACTCCCAAAGCACGCCCCTCCCCCCCCCCCAATTTTTAACGAAAAAAAATTCGGGTGGAGCCTATCGGTCCCACCGAAAGTGCAGATTTTCGGTCCCACGTCATATGTAAGGCGTTATCTCGTAATGGGTTGCTTGTTTCGGCTCCAAATCACCAAATCTTTAACTTTCCAAAAAATTTAAATCAAGGTATTCCGACTTATTTTTTGTTAAGACTCATGTATAAAAAATGCCTATTAGTTGTTTTTACTGTGTTCTATGTTACTTCGGGAATATTTTGCGATTTAATTAATTTGTTATTTTTTTATCCAAATTATATTATTAGTGTGATAAAAAAAATTAGTAAAATAGAGAAATTAGTATTAGTTGTTAAAAGGGTAAGCACCCTCCACTTCCAACCAAGAGGTTGCGAGTTCGAGCCACCCTAATAGCAAGGTGGGGAGTTCTTGGAGGGAAGGATGCCGAGGGTCTATCGGAAATAGCCTCTCTACCCCAGGGTAGGACCGTAGGGGTAAGGTCTGCGCACACACTACCCTCCCCAGACCCCACTAGTGAAATTATTCTAGGTTGTTGTTGTTGTTGTTAGTTGTTTAAAAGATGTTAATTAGTTAATTTTTACTTTGGTATATATTTTTATTGTTTTGTGATTAAATTAATTTGTTGTATTTATTTGGTTTAGATTAGTTATTTGCTAAAGATTAGTAAAATCGATAAATTATTATTTTAGGAATAATTAATCTTATCTAGATGTTATTGTTGTACATATATGAATATATGACTTTAGTCCCATGTAGTGGTATCTTGTGCCTGTAATTTTACTGTAGTGCTCGTATTTATAATGTTGTGACCTTTTAGCATAGTAAAATGTAGTGCCCTTAGCGTAGTATCTTTGTAGCTATTGAAATTAATTATTTAATTATCTGTTAAAGCCCAAAAAATATCTGAACAAAGTTGATAGTTCAAACACAAACTCTCTCGAATTCTAGTCAACAACGTAAAAAAAATTACAGTAGAAAACAACAATATTTATCAAACTAAGTATTGTTACATGAATATTAATAATTAAATCTTGTATAATTATGAAAATTAATTATTTAATTTTATTATAGTCAAAAATAGGTGATTAAAAAAACAAACATATAAAATAATAATCTAACATATAAAATAAGAAACAAACATATAAAATAATAAACTAACATATAAAATAAGAAATAAACATATTAAATAATAAACTAACATATAAAATAAAATAAAATAAAAATATATTAATTAATAAACAAACATATAAAATAGTAACTAACATATAAAATAATAAAGTAAAATATGAAATAATAAACTAACATATAAAATATAAAATTATAATATTGAAAATGTATCAACCTAATTAACAATATAGTGAAAATATCGAATAAATTTTAATATTAATGATATTGCAATATATTTAAAGATGCTAAGCATGAAAAAGAAAAATACTTTAATTAATACTGTTCAATTTACAATAGTCGTCATGGAGGTTCCGCATGTGCCTCCCGGACCTGCATCGCTAGAGCTACTGTTGCTACAGGCAGAGCATAGATCTTTGTACATATGGGAGGGGCAGTGTTTGGCCCAGACATTTCATGCTAGACGGGTAGACAATAGGTGGAACTTTCTTAGGGCCCACCCACTCCATCCCTGTATTGTTAGACGCCTTCAGGATACGGGTTTTTATAGGATCATAGAGATCGGCCGGTTGCAGTTGGACTGGTCGTTGATCTGATAGAGCGGTGGCAACCGGAGACGCACACATTTCATTTACCCATCGGCGAGGCTACCATCACGCTTCATGATGTGGAGGTTATTTATGGGCAATCAGTTGATGGATTACTTGTAGCTTTACTGAATGTTGCAAGATATTATATAGGATTGCATTACCTGGAGATGTTGCAGCGGCTCACTAGTTTCCAGCCAGCGGAAGAGGCTGCATTGAGTGGGGTCAGTCGTTTGTAGTTGACGCCCGTCCGAATGTATCTGGAGGCGATGGATGTGGACATTACGAATGATACACCGGATCTTCACATCAACCGGTACACGAGATTATTGATGCTGCTTAGATTTGGTGGGGTATTATTACTGAACACTTCGGGAAACCTAGTCAGCTTGAGATTTCTTCATCATCTTGTGCGGCTAGATGATTTACCTCTTTACAGCTGGGGTGCATCTGTTCTAGGTTACTTGTACATGCAAATGTGTCGGGCTAGCATGGGCACCCAACGCGATGTTGCTGGATTTTTGCCGCTGCTGCAGGTGAAAATATAGTCAATTATTTTCATGATTATAACATACATAGTAAAAATATACCTTAAATTTTACGTCCACATTGTATATTAGGTTTGGGCCTGGAGCGGTTTTTGCAGTTCCAGCTACCTCTACCACCCATCGCTCAGGATGCACCACCTCCATCGTTTCTCCCTTTAGCTAGGAGGTGGGTTGATAGGCGAGGCTATGGACGCGAGGTCGAGGCTCGACCTAATCTCCCCTATTACAGGGATTTGTTGGATTTGCTTGAAGGCAGGCAGGTACATGTATACTTAAGTTTACTTGGCCTAACTTTATATGTGTTGCGTTTACTCGCGATTCCTGTTTTTACTTAATAGTTCATATGGAGGCTATACAACGACGAGTTAATAGCTGGTTTTCCCGATTATTGCTCGAGCGTCCGACTTATGTGGAGCACTTCCGTCCCATTGATGTGTCTCGATATTGTCAAGCATCATGCCACCGAGCGAGTCCTTCGCCAGTTTAGTCGACCGCAGCTTGTACCTACTCCTCCCGTTTGGCTTAGGACACATTACCAGTGGGATGATCGTTCCAGGGTTGACCGGACATACGGGGCCTGGCTAGAGGCGCAGATTGAGATTTGGGACCGTCGGCGTGACCTGATTCCGCCACCCCCTCCACCTAAGCTTACGAATGGTGAGCATGAGTATATAGGTTGGTACCGCAGCATTAACCAACTTTTCGTCGAGAATCCCGTCCATCGCGCTGGTGGTCGGTACATTCCATACGCCGGGAGGCATGAGGCACTGATATGTCATTTGTTTTACTTACGTATAACGTTAACCTAGTGTTCCGTAATCAATATTTTACATGTTGTGCAGACTATTGGCGTACATCTGTTCTACCAGTTAGGACTGCAGATGCAGCAGCATACCGGCGAGGGAGCGACATCTTTGCACGAGTATGGCCGCCAGGTTACAGATTTGCTATGCAGACATTGAGGCGAGCCCTGGATGATGAGCGCTTAGGATAAGAGGCTGATTATGTGCCGCCAGAGCAGTACCATCGTGGGCCAGCAGTGGATCCTGAACGTGGTCGACGTGGCAGGCATGCCCAGAGAGGTTGAGGTGTCCCACTTGCAGCCATCCACATTAAATCATGCAAGTTCTTGTTCGGATGAGCCCTCTGGAAGTTGGCCTTCAGGTGCCTCACACAGTACCGGTGGTAGGCATACGGTTCCTGCCATGCACGCAAATTCTGTACAGAGTACAGCCATGATGATTAGATATTAGACAAATACCTTAATGTTGTCTGACAACGTGCTCCTTCAAGTGGTTCAAAAATAATGCGCACGTCTCTTGGCTTTCATTGGCATAAATAGCAAATGCTAGGGGAAATATACTTCTATTAGCATCTACTGCAACTGCGATCAACAACTTAATATCATATTTTCCATAGACACGAGTGCCTATGGTTATTACCAGGCAGTAATGCACAAAACCATCAATGGCTGGTTTAAATGCCATAACACATATCTGAATATGTGTTCTGGTATTCTCGGACTCCGCTCAAACTTCCATTCAACAACAGTTCCAGGGTTAAAGTGTTGCAATGCGGCCATGTACCTGGGTAGAGATGCAAATGACTTATCCCAGTTACCATAAACAATTTCAAACGCACGTTTGCGTTCGAGAAATGCCTTTGTTTTGATAATGGACACCCATATACCTAGTGAAAAGATGTTATACACTCTTTGATATTGTACCTTATGGACGCTTCAATGTTTGGAATCAAGACAAAAGAAATCAAGTCAACATTCAAGTCAAAATGATTCCCACCGAATGTGTCCATTTCACAATTGTGGGTGCCAATGTATTTACCCACAACCTACATATTTGTTTTCTTCTTCCTCGCACGCAACATCCAATTACAATCCATAAACCATCTACTGCATACAACCTTGTATACATCCGGAGATGACCCCATGAACCACCATCTCACGACACTCTTTTATGTTGTACATTCGCACAACCCTACTTAGGCGCTCTTTATCAGGAAAAAGCATGCGCTTTGATAGCACCGTTGCTCTAGATTCATCCCACATTGATGTCCGAATTTCGTCAAGATCCCTTGTGAGGGTATTCTCATCCGGCATACTTAGAAAATGATCAAGGTAGGGAATCTACCTTGAATGAAACGACACGTGGGTCTCGTACACTCTTGGTCTGACGGGAGGTGGAGCATGCTCCCTCGTCAAATCAGGTTCAGCATTCTCTTGCTCCTCATCGTCACCCTCATCACGGAAGGGTGAGTCATCTCCACACTCATCGGCATTGTTGTCATAATCACTATTTTCTTCCTGACTCTGCGCATCTGTCAGATCCCGATTAAATATGTCGTCTTCGGCCAATTGAGTAAGAACAGGACCTTCAAGTTGCTCGTTTTCACTGCATAATCAATAAGATAATGAATTTCTCAAATTAATCCAAACTTTACATATAGCTTTATCACTTTACTTACAAATCATAGTGTGTTGATATCGCATGATGGACATTATCCTGTTGATGATGACTCCCGGATGGACCACCATGATCCAACACACCAAAACTAGGCATATTCCAACTGGGTGTTGGTTCATAACTTGTAAAACTCATATCTGGTCAGTACCCCATGTGGAATATATGAGTGTTAATACAAATTCAATACATAAAAATAAACATCGTAACACAAAGGAAAATTGAAGTTTACCACTCGGTTTGTGGATTATGTAAACCAGGGGAGAAATTATTTCTTTATTCCTCATTAGCCCGTGGAGATAAGTTTAGAGCAAGCCAAACTCTTTCACCCGGAACCTGTTCGGCTAAAACTGCTCCAAAATAACCACCCGATGATTGAGGATATCCCTACTTTGCGGAACCTCATTATTGCGAACGGTCAGCCTTGACGTACATTTCCAACATTTTTATCACAAGAAATTCCCGGTATTCATCTGGAGTCCTCAAAAAATCTCTCAAAGTTTCATCGTATTCGATGTTAAACTCAGCATAACAAGCAACCCCTTGCGGAGTGACAGAATACGGATATCTTCCAGTTACTTTCATACTCACCGAACGTTTGCTCACACTCATTTTTTACATAACAACGATACCAATGTATCGTACACCATTGTAAGTGGCAACTTAATGACACCACCACAACCTCACCCCCTAATATTATGAAACCCTAATTCTTCGCTCATCATACATTATGACAAAATGCAAAATAACTTAACGAACAAATATTTAACGAACAAAAATATCAGAAGACTCGAAGGAGGATGAATGGATTTTTCCCAAATCTTGAAACCCTTTAAATAAGGAAAAAACAAGTCCGGGGGGCAATTATTTGAGGTATAACGCCTTAAATATGGCCGTTATACCCAGTTGAATTATTAGTGTGTCAGTTAAGCACAAAACAATTATTTGTGGGCCCAATACTTAACTATAGCGCGGTATTGCACTGCGCTATTCTTTAACGACAAATCTGTCGTTAAGGTATAACATATATAGTCAGGGGCGGATCTACATATAGCATTCCGGGTGCTCGAGCACCCATTAACCTCGATGCGAACCGTATATGCTTATATAGAAACTTCTGATAAATTCAATATATAAGTTCAGTAGCACCCATCACTCAAAAGGTTAGACAGGTGCTTTGGTTGGAAGGTTGATTCAATGCCCCATGGATGGGCAAGTACGCAGGTCTAATTCCCCACATACTTTTAAGAGCTCCAATCCTCTTTTTCTTCTATTACAAATTTTTCTTTTTCTTCTTTAGTATTTTCTTTATAGGCGTTCCTATTAGTTTGCTGACTTTTACTTTTACTTGGTTTTAACTTAGAGTTTCTTATTTTTCTTCTCGCTGATTTTTTCTTCATCTTCTCCAATACAGATTTTCGTCTTCTTTTGTTCTTTTTTCTAAATACTTTCGTTGTTCACTTTTTTCGTTTAGTTTTATCGTTTTTTTTTTTTTTTTTTATTTATGTTTCCTTCTCAGCAATTCAAAAGTCAGCACCCACGACTATAAAATCTTAATCCGCCATTGTATATAGTGGTTCCCAATCTTTTTTCTCCACATATTTTGATTCTTTGAGTCCAAAATAACCGCACTTTGACAATCATGAAACTACATTACTGTGTAAGCGGAGCAACTTTAAATGGACAAGCTAGAAATTCATATGGGCAACATCAAGTTCATATCGTGAATGAATTTGAGATAGCTCGCTCTAATACTTTTTTGTATGTATAATGTATATTTGGAATTACGCGTGGACTTAATATTAAATTCACAATTTTACCAATTAATTCGCCTAATTTTTTTATTAGTTCCTTTATATACTTTTTACATACTGATTTTTTTTACCTACCAATGAGTTATGTCTTAGTTGAATTCCTTAACAGAATCAAGATTTAACTCATAATATTAAGGCAACAAATTAATGAAGTAACTCAATGTTTTTTTTTGCTAATAAGGAGATTTATATTTTAAATTAAGTAACGTAACAATTATAGTTATTACAAGCCAAGACTGTCCGAACGTTCAAGTCTTCAGAACGGTCTCAGTGGCGAATTCAGGATTTTCGGTTCGTGGGTGCTTAACTTTTTTTGACGTATAGTTACTACCAACACAAGTATAAAGTGCACAACTATTTGAACATGACAATCAAAAAACTTTAATAAAAGAACTCGTGT